CGCGTGGAAGGCGGGACTTCCGTATCCTTCACGTCATCTCCCCTGCGACGCGAACGTCACGAACTTGACCGGGAAGGTCAACCGTGGCCGAGGGCGGGCGCGCGCCCACCGCACGCTCCGGGGTCGCCGGCGCATGCGCGCGGGGTCGCCGGAACTGTACCTGCCGCTCGTCGGTGAAGCCCGCCTTTCGGGCTCGGCCCTGGCACCCATGCTGGGCCGGCTGGGCGGGAGGTGGCTGCGGCCGCCGGCCGTCCTGCAGCCCGAGGCCCGGGGCCCGCACTTCGCTCCGGCCGCGACCGGCGGTGCCAGGCGCTCGGCTCTGCCAGCGTGGGCGGTGGCCTCCGTGTCTGCAGTTGACCCGGGCGGCGCGGGCGGCTGGTACGAGGCGCTGGCCGCTTCGGCGCCGGTGCACGGCGCGGAGGAGATGCTGCTCGCCGCGCACGGCGTCACGGGCCTGCCCTGGTGGGGCAGCATCCTCTTCACCACCGTGGCCCTGCGCGGCGCCGTCACGCTGCCCCTGGCGGCCTACCAGCACTACATCCTGGCCAAGGTGAGGGCCGCCGCGCCGCGCCCGGGGGCGGGCGGCTTAGTGTTCCTCGTGGTGACCGCGTCGCTGCTGAGAAGGGTAACTCGCACTGGACGTGGGAAGTACGAGATGTTGAATGGCACGTGCACCAGCCATCTCGTTTACCCTCTGGGTTTGTGCTCAGAGCAGGAGTGGTCCCCTGGCCTTGTTAGAGAGAAAGGCATCAGGAGCAGGAAAACTGGTGGTGCGACCTGTGAAATGACCTCTTTCGGGGCCGCAACCCCCTGCTGGTTGCAGCATCTTTAGTTCCCGGGCTTTCAGACCGATCGTGTTGGGGAAGACCTGCCGGGCTAGCGGTTTGCAAACTGGACCCCTGATTCAGGCCGGTCCACCGACAGGCCCGTGTCCGGCGAGTCTCAGCCGCTCGCCCTTCGGTGCCTCCTTGTCTTTGGTGTGGGATTAGGATAGGAAGACCTTCCTGCCCTGCTTCCCGAGATTAGGAGGTCAAGTCACATATTATGAGTTTAAGTGCAACGAAAGCAAAATAGTATTCAAAATGGAAGACTTCAAAAAAAAATGGCTTCAAAGATTATTATCATTGGGGGGAAAGCCTGGAAACAAAACCGAAAGAGATTCGGCAGCAGGATCAAGGCAGTGAGTTACTTTACAGAATCAACACAGGGCAGATAATGCAAAGTTTGGGGGCTGTCACAGAAAATATTAGCGATTTAATTAATACCCTTCTATTTCCTCAGTTGACGGTACTGGGAAAGCCAGGGATGCAACATAAAAGTGCAGGCGCCGTTCTCATTTAATCCTTACAATAACCCTGTGAAGTAGGTACTGCTGCACATTTTATTTATGGGGGAACCGGATCTTAGAGGTTAAGTAACTTGCCCAACAGCACACAGCTAAGTGTATAATCTGGAATTTGGATTTGGTTGTAACAGGATATCTTAAGCAATTTAACATCTTATGCTTAGACTTAAGGTTTTTTGACATGCTCAGTAGACCATAACTTTTTGTTTTATCCTCACCCGAGGATATATTTTTTCCCATTGATTTTAGAGAGAGTGGGAGGGAGGGAGGGAGGAGGGGAGAGAGAAAGAGAAACAGAAACATCAATGTGAGAGAGAAACTTCGATAGGTTGCCTCCCACATGCAGCCTGGCCTGATGGGCTGGGGATGGAACTGGCAACCCAGTACATGCCCTGACTGGGAATCAACTCAACCTCCCAGTGGGAATGGGACGGCACTGTAACCCACTGAGCCACTCTGGCTGGGCAGGAAACCAAAATGTTAAATGAGTTGAGGGAATAGAAAATAAAACTATGAGTGGTTATAAATAAAGGTCCTTTATGTGCTCATAACAAATTCTACTTTTTCTTTAGCTAGGTGGACAATTTGCAACCAGAAATACAAAATATTGCACAACACCTTAACCATGAAGTTGCAATTCGTGCAAAACAGTTGGGGTGGTCCAAAAGAGTTGCCAGGTAAGATAATTCTGTGCATATAAGACCATAAAAATATATGTCTATTATGTGAAAGTGATTATGTTAATTATAGGTTTGAGTATTCTGTAGCTTTAGCTCTTAGGTCAATGCTCAACCACTAAGCCACTGGGGCCAGGCAAGTTTCTTATTCTTAAAGAGACCCCATCCTACTCAAAAGACCTGCAATCAAATAATGACTGAATTAAGTACTAGAAGAAAGGTTTTGTGCAAGGAGTTGGGTCATTATGGAAAGTCAGGGAAGGCTTCACAGGATAAAGATACTGTGCCAGTCTGTTGGTGCTTTAGTCAACAAATCATACAGGTTATTTTCCAAACTTCACCTTTTTGAAAAGATACAGTAGGCAGTAGCCCTCAGGAATGTGGAAGTAGAAAATGTGAATATTATAATAGGAGCAACTGGATAGCTAGGGTGCTGTCCATCGACTGTAATTACCCTGTGTAGTAATCTTTCTGGGGTCCTAGAAACCCTTGCCCAAGGGTGCATGACCGTAGTCATCCACTGCGAACTTCTAAGTCATCATGCTTCAGTCAACCTAAGCTACTACTTAGTTCCCCAAATTCTTATCCTTACTATACTGTGACATAGTGTTCACCATTTCACAGAAATGAGAAATACATATATATGGTTATCCATACATTTAGCTCTATAGGTATACATTTGCCAACTATTTTCATTATGAAAGTGCTTCTCTCTATTTAGTGTTAAGAAAACTTGACAGACCTGTAGTTTTGAAGTTTTACTGATCAAAGAACTCTCACAATTACAGCTCTATGCCAAAAGAACAGACTTACAGCTGCTCACCTGGGTTGTAAATACATCCTAGATAAGTTGGTGGCACCCTGGTGACGCAGCACTGGCACGATGATTGTTCAGCCACATCGTTACGGAGATGGGTGGCTTTCTGGAAAGACACTCTGAAGGTTTCCTACATTTTCATTGGGACAGTCTTGGAAGGTGAAAGGGAGTGTGCCAGGTGGACAGCCAAGAGAGTGGGTTGTCCACACAGATGATAAAATCATTTCCAAAGGTATGCTGATGCGGAAGTCTGATTTGTTGGATGACCTAAGCCATTTCAGGCATCAGAAAATACAGGTGTCTATAAAGGAGTAACAGAATTACAAAGACCCTGGAATGTCTGTGTGTGCTGTCTTAATTCAAGTAAATGTAGCAAACCTATTGAATGCCATACCTTTTACAAAATATATGGCAAGAGATTTAGAGATGAATAAGACCCAGCACTTGACCTTCAAGGAGACTGTAGTCAAGAAAGTGAGACTTAACAACAGGAATAACTAATATGCTTAACCGAGAAACGAAGAAAATATTCATGAAAAAGAATTGAAAAATGGAGACTGTTTTGACAGGCTAAGAGCGCACACAGTACAAAACCACATTGGTACAAACAAATATATTCAGGGACCAAGTAATTAAGCTTGGCTGGAATGGAAGGTTTGAATAAAATGTACTTTTACTTTTCATATTTCCTATAGAAACTGCAATAATACCAGTTTAGTAGTGAGGTTTCCCTTCTTAAAGCCTAACTAGCCAAAGATGACCATAGACAAAGCTTATAGTCTGCCAATGTTAGATTTGTTGAATTGTTATGTAATTTGTATACATTGCTAGAGAATTTTCAGTAAAAGGCTTTATTTACCTTTTATTTAGGCAGCTCCTTAATATAGCTTGTGACAATTAAAAATCCTACACAAATTCTTCAGCCAATACCCACAACCTGGTCGTGTTTATGCTATGGTTATGAAGCACTATTAGTGATCAAATGATATTTTCTCCCTTTTCTTTTCCCCTCTTCCCTCAAAATAGGTTCACTTATCTAAAGAATATGCAGAGGCTTGTTTCAGAGCTGTACATTCGGGATAATTGCCACCCTTTCAAAGCCACAGTGTTGGTCTGGATTCAGCTTCCAATGTGGATCTTTATGTCTGTCGCTCTGCGGAATTTTAGCACAGGAGCAACACATTCAGAAGGTAGTTATTATAGAAGTTTGTTTTCCCCCCAAATAAGTTCCCTAACATTGTCTTTGTACTCTAAAGAAAAAAGAAAAAAATACCCCATACTTTTCATAAATAGAATACTTTAACCAGTCTTCCTTATGAAGGGTATAAGTATACAATTTAAAATATTGAGTGTAAGCAAACTAGCTGTGTTGAGAAAATAAATCTAGAAAGGAAAGCAGTAATATTGCTTCTTAGAGATCATAATAAAATTAGTGTTATAATTTCAGAGTTTGGTTTCCTAACCAGGAATTGTTTTTGTTTATAAACTTAAGAGAACAGAAAAGCTTTCAGAGTGATAAATGTAAACATTAATTGAGAAACAATATGAACTAAAGCACTTGTTTTTTACTTTCATTTAAAGGCATTTCTAACCAGAAAGTAATCTGAATAGATTCTAAACAAGCAGCTATGGCTACATAATTATTTAAAGTTAAGCCTGAAACGATTATTGCTACTTCGTTGTTGTTGTTAATCCTCACCCAAGAATATTTTTCCATTGATTTTTAAAGAGAGTGGAGGGAGGGAGGGAGCGGAGAGAGAGAAACATCATGTGTGAGAGAGACATCAAAAGAAGGAATTCTTACCATTTGGAACAGCATGGATGGAACTGGAGAGCATTATGCTCCAATCCACACACCAACTGAACCTGCACCCCGGGTACATGCGCTTGACTGGGAATTGTGCCCTTGACTGGAAATTGAATTCTCAACCCTTCTGTGCATAAGCCTGTGCTCTAACCACTTGGCACACCGTCAGGGCACTGCTACATATTTTTATTTTTTTTCTCTCTAAGTCTGTTTGCTACAGAAAGCTGCTTGCCTCTTTCTCAATCCAGGAAGGACTGATTTGTGTTACGGAATGAAAAGAGCCTGAATAAAACCAATGCAAGTCTTTAGTGTGAGGGGCACCTTTTTGGAATTATTATCCTACATAATGTCTTGTGTATTTCTTTCTGCTGTTGTAATAAATTATTTTATTTATAAATTTTCAGCAGGTTTTTCTGTCCAGGAGCAGTTAGCAACTGGTGGGGTCCTGTGGTTTCCTGACCTCACTGCACTGGATTCCACTTGGATTCTGCCTATCTGCATTGGTGCCATCAATTTAATAATAGTAGAGGTCAGTGGTTTTAAACAAGATTGTTTGCCATTTAAATTATTAGGATTTCTGTTGTTGCTTGAGTCTTAATTCAGAGCTACTCACTGAAGGTGAGTAGGTAACGGGTGTTACCTACTTTGTTCAGGGAGTATCCGTGTTGATTCCAATTGCTGTGACAGTACCTTCAGTGCGTAAACACCAGCATTGTGTGCTAAATCGTGTCTGATCTTAGCTTCATCTGGCTGGGGTTCTGCCTGTAGAGCTAGAATTTAGTTTGGTTTCTGGTTGCAGGTCAGCCATCGACAAACTGACTGTCTTGGGTCAGTTCCTTAACCTCTCTGGGGGACAGAATGCTCATCATTAAAGTAAGAAAGCTGAATTAGAACACTTCCAAAGTCTCTTTCAACTTTAAAATTATATGATTCTAATACATTCAGAATTGTGATTTGCTTTTGGTTAAAGACGGTCATTAAGATGTCTAATCAATCTGGTTTTATTCCCACAATAGATTGGTATTTTGTGTATATGTTTAATATATAAATTTGTAGGCAGAGAATAAAGTCATTACCTGACTGCCATTTTTTAGTTATGCGATCTTAGAAAAATAATAGAATTTCTTTATAAGATGGAGTGGAAAAACACATACATATTCAATATGATCTCTTAGCTATGTCTTACCATTATCCCATGCTCCTTTACTCAACAGTTTATGGGAAGCATGCCTTTAATTTCATAAAGAGCTGTTCTCAAACTCTGAAAAGAACATCGACTCTTTGAACTAGAAGAAACCTTAGAAATTATCTACCTCAGTTGTGATCTCATAGACTTCATGTCCACTGGTCTCTGGGAAATCTCATATACCTTTATTTTCTTAGACAAGAAAAATGAAGATGATACCTAAAGGTGTTGGGTGACAGTTTCTTGAGGAAAGACTCCAGTCTAAGTGTGTGGTCTAAGTGTATTTCCCTAAAGGGGAACCCAGCAGAGCCTTGTGAACGTGGTTGGACTTAGTGAATATTTGTTAGAAAGAAGGAAGTGATAAATACAAGGTCACCATGGATTAATGTCCGTCCTTTAGTCTTTACTTTATACCATCTACTAACCCAGTATGTATAGGTTTAAGAAAAGCTTATTCTTACTTAACATACACCATATTTCAGGCACTATTTTAATAGCTTACATTAATTAGCTCATTTTTAAAGAAATATTTTTTTATTGATTTCAGAGAGGAAGGGAGAGGGAGAGAGAGATAGAAATACCAGCGATGAGAGAGAATCATTGATTGGCTGCCTCCTGCATGCCCCCTACTGGGGATCAAGCCTGCAACCCAGGCATGTGCCCTTGACTGGAATCCACTGAGCCAAACCAGCTAGGGCTAATTAACTCATCTAATTCTTTTGACTAATTCTGTGATATAGGTACTATTACTATTATTATGTGCATTTTAAGGTGGAGAAAGTGAGGAACAGAAAGGTTAAATAACTTGCACAGTCATATGACCACTAAATACAGGGCTGCCATGTGAACCTAGGAAGTTTGGGCCTAGAGTCTGGGCTCATAATCATTACTACTATGTTGCCTCTTAAATAAATAATTCATAAATTATAACTGCTTTCCCTTGCTTTGGTTATTCCCCTTTATCCATGTAGCCAGATCACAAATCTTTGAGATACCAAGTTCCTTCTTTATGCCAGGCACTGTACTTAAGTACCAAAAAACAAGGGTAATGATTCATACATACTACCTATCTTTTTTAAAAAAAATATGTTTTTATTGATTTGAGAGACTGAGACAGGAAGGGAGAGGGAGAGAAAGAAACATCGATGTGAGAGATCGGTTGGTTGCCTCTAGCATGCAACCCAAGCAGGGACTGAACCAGGAATCAAACCCCAGACCCTTTGGTGCACAGGATGATGCTCACCTAATTGAGCTACACTGGCCAGAGCCATAGTACCTATCTTGAAGGGACTTTCAGTCTTACAATCTTTAAAAACCATTTTAATAATAAAAGGATAACAAGCTAATTGGACCGGATGTCTTATGGACGTCCTTCCTGACGAAGCCGGGCCAGAGGGAAGCCAGTCTGGATCCTGGGTGCCTGCTGGCGGCCAAGAGAGGGAAGCCTGGGTCCCGGGTGCTGGAGGAAAGCCAGTGCTGGCAGCCGGGGGAAGGAAGGCCTACTCTTGCACAAATTTTTGTGCATCAGGCCTCTAGTTGTCTTATAAAAATTATGCTGTGATTCTATTTAATATAGTTGAATCTCTTCTTTATTGCTATTAATTAAAGCTACTTTTAAGATTTCTGCATAATTATTAAGTTTTATAAAAGATAGATGATCAACCAAATAAACTTATCAGTGTTTTCTTTTTTTTCATTGGTTAAAATGTAAGTGAAGGCCATTTTATGCATTTTAATAATCATGGTGTGTGTATATATTCTGCCCTTTTAGATTGTTGCTCTACAAAAAATTAGAATGTCTCGTTTTCAGACGGGTGTTACCTACTTTGTACGGGGAATATCAGTGTTGATGATTCCAATTGCTGCGACAGTACCTTCGGTGAGTAAACACCAGCATTGTGTGCTAAATCTTGTCTGACCTTAGTTTTATCTGGCTGGGTTCTGCCTCTTCTACTGAGCTTTCTCTGAAAACTCAATCCCTTACTGGTTTCTGAGTTTTTCTGTAATAACGAATTTACTGTCTCTGTCACCGAGTGACACATATTTCTTGGGATTGATTGACCTTCCTGTATGTGAATGTCTTAACTCTCTTACTAACTCAAACCTTTTTTCTTTTTACAATTTTGCAAAGTACCTTGCACACTACCATGAACAAAGTATTTGCTCTGTTTGATTAGGTGATATATTGAATTGTTTCTGTCTATATAGACTTAGTTAAGGAATTTAGCACTTAAAAAAGAAGCAGACTTTGTGCCAAGTCCATATGTGTTCATATGTAATATTATTTAACCTCATACAGCTCTTTATGAAATAGGTACACTTGCCCCTATTTATTTATAATTAAACTTTTTTTTTAAAGAATATTTTTATTGATTTCAGAGAGGAAGGGAGAGGGAGAGAGAGATAGAAACATCAATGATGAGAGAGAATCATTGATCGGCTGCCTCCTGCACGTCCCACAGTAGGGATTGAGCCCGCAACCCGGGCATGTGCCCTTGACCGGAATTGAACTCAGGACTCTTCAGTTCCAGTCCACAGGCCGACGCTCTATCCACTGAGCCAAACTAGTGAGGTCTGTAATTAAACTTTTATAGAAATAGAGAAATTGTTATGTTTGCAGTTATTTCATATTTTTGGTCTTTTGCTTATTACCCATGGATACTTAGTGCTAAGAAGGCAAAAGCTGTGTCAGGTATAGCTCTCTTTTTGCTCAGAGCCAACGCATAGACCATAAAGTAGAATCTATTTGTTGCTGATAGTTAGGGTTATATCAGCATATGTAAAGTTTTTCATGTTACTTATCTTAGGAATCTGGAACAGTATGTATTCAGCATCAAACATATATTACTGCCCTAACCGGTTTGGCTCAGTGGATAGAGCATCGGCCTGTGGACTGAAGGGTCCCAGGTTCAATTCCAGTCAAGGGCATGTACCTTGGTTGTAGGCACATCCCCAGTAGGGAGTGTGCAGGAGGCAGCTGATCGATGTTTCTCTCTCATCGAAGTTTCTAACTCTCTATCCCTCTCCCTTCCTCTCTGTAAAAAAAAAAAAAAAAATCAATAAAATATATTTAAGTGTATATATATAACTAAAGCTGTCCCTTAGACATAATATTGTCATTACTCCTATATAAAATAACTAAGTTTCTACATGTCTTAAATAGACATCATTATGTCTGTGAGAATAAATGAAATAACACCAAGTACTTATAATAATTTTCATATAATAGTAGTATTGTTGTAAAATACCCTATAAAATAGAAAAATACAGGTTCACGACATTTCTTGGGAGAAATAATGCCAATTATAACTGAGGAACCCCCCCCCAGCTCAAATAAAATAAGGGCAGTGAAGTTTCAGTGAGGGTCTGGGTTCAAAGTGAGTAACACATCTGAAGAAGTGTCTTAAATACCCAAAAGTTTATTCTCTCAAATATAGGAAATTCAGTTAGGCAGCTTAGTGTATCTCTTACAAGACATGAGAGACCCAGCCTGCTTCTCTCTCTTTTTTTAATATATATTTTTATTGATTTCAGAGAGGGAGAGAGAGAGAGAAACATCAATGATAAGAGAGAATCATCAATTGACTGCCTTCTGTACACCCCTTACTGGGGATTTGAGCCCGCAACCCAGGCATGTGCTCCCAACCAGAATCAAACCTGGGACCCTTCAGTTACTGGGCCGGCCCTCTATCCACTGAGTCAAACCAGTTAGGGCTGCTTCTCTCCTAATGCTCCACCATCCAGTCTGTAATGTCTGTCCTTCAGGCCCCAGTATGGCCGTGATGGCTGCCGGAGCTTGTCTCTGCAGGAGTGGTAACAGGGTGCTTCACGTGCAGTGAGCGCTTGGAGGGAGCCTTGCCAGCTGTCCCACCAAACACTCCTGCTCACCTCTTAGTTACCTGGCCACACCTCACTGCGGAAGAGGCTGGGAAGAAGTCTTTCTCTTCGCCATGGCAGTATACCTTTCTGGAAATTAGGACTATTACTAAGGAAGAAGAGTGATTTTTAATAGACAGCTTATAGTCTGTACAGTTGAGTTCAGGGTACTTTTTGCTTAGTGGATAAATCAGATGATGGTGATAGCACATGTTTAGTCAGCATTGACTTTGTGCCAGGAACTATTTGAAGTGGTTTGCATATATTAGCTCTTACAATTCTCCCAACAATGCACTGAAGTAGCTGCTACTGTAATCTCCACTTTAGTGACGAGGAAACTTAAACCCAGAGAGGTTAAGTAATTCATCCAAGGTTACTCATCTGTTAAGTGGCAGAGCCTTACACATCCAGGCAGCTTGGCTCTTGCTCTTAACTACAGTGGTAATCTGCCTTTGATGATGTGTTACTTTCTGCTCCTCAAAACTTGCTTTTGGAAAAATGCAAGTGCTTAATATGGACCACACACTGCTTTACCATCTATTTGAGTTATCTCATTTATTCTTTACAGCAACCTTCTGAGATAGGTACAGTCCTGTGCCCATTTTATAAATGAGGAAACTGAAACAGAAGAAAAATAACTTACCCAAAGTCAAATAAATGGAATTCAAACTCAAGCAGTTTGACTCCAGGGCTTGGACTCAACCACCACATAGTCATGCCTCTGGGTTCTGGTGACCTTCTGATGCCAAAGAAAAGTTTGTGTGGGATTGTTTTGAGAGGCTGTAGGACTTAGTCACTGACCTACATAATCAATCTGGATGGTAGTACAAAAAAGTGAAGATAATGCTGAGCTATAAGTCTCAGAAAAGGCAAAGATAATGCATTCCTGACCATTCTTAGCGACTGGTTACTAGAAAAGTTGGTAGATAGATGACTATATGGAGGAAAGTGAAGTCTAGGGAGGCTAAGTTTGCCATCATAAATGGCTATACCTCTAGGACCCTACCTCTAATTATGGCAGTTTGTCAGGACTCTTGGTGGGGAAAAAGCCAAAGAAGGGCGGCCAGACCTCTCTTGGTCCCTGGGAGCTACTCTGTCATCCACTTTCTATCACGAATACCTCTCTTTTTGCTTTTTGGTCTTCCTTTCATCCTTCTTTCTAACCTATTAGACCCTTCACAGATATCTAACTGCCATTGCAGGTCTTGTTTATTCCTAGTGTACTTCTATTTGCAGAGATTATAATTTTCTTTGTCTCTGAAGCTTGGTGTCTGCGGTGCTAACATTCATGTCCTTTCTTTCTTTTTTTTATAGTCACTTGTTCTCTACTGGTTATGCTCCAGCTTCATGGGCCTTTCACAGAACTTGCTGCTGCGTTCTCCCAGGTTTCGCCAATTTTGCCGTATACCGTTGACCAAGGGAGATTCAGACACTCCTTATAAGGACCTCTTTGCTGCTTTCTACGCCAAGTACATTTCAAGGAAATGACATACTTTTCAGCGATTTTGAAACAGAAGTATAACTAACACTTTAATATACTTAGAAGATTTATTCAGATATGATTTAATTTGCCCTTATTTAAAATCTTGAGCCCTAACCGTTTTGGCTCAGTGGATAGAGCATCCGGCCTGTGGACTGAAGGGTCCCAAGTTTCGATTCCGGTCAAGGGCATGTTCCTTTGGCTGCGGGGCATATGCCTGTAGGGGGCGTGCAGGGAGGCAGCTGATCAATGTTTCTCTTTCATTGATGTTTCTAACTCTCTATCCCTCTCCCTTCCTCACTGTAAAAAATCAATAAAATATATTAAAAAAATAAATAAAATCTTGAACTCTGAAGGATTGTGTTAAAATATGACCCAGTTGTAATTGACAAGACTTAAAGTCTATTAAATGCTAGGATGTAGGTGGCATGTTTGTTTTGTATCCTAAGAATATAAAAGTGCCTGGTTCTGTTTATAGAATTACAACTTGCTAGAGGTGGTAGAAGTTTGGAGAACAGGGCTAGATACTAAATGATGTCAAATTGTACTGAATAGTCCCACCCGTGAAAATTATATAAAACAAGAGAATCCAATGAGGCATTTCTAAAAATTTTGGAGGTCTGAATGATCATATTCCTGTTTGAACATCTAATAAAACGATGTTTTCTCTTTAGAAAAATCCTCAGACTGACAACATGAGGGCCTTCAGGCCCTGAAATGCCTCTGGTGGCTCCCAGTTAAGAAATCTTATTTGAATGGAACATACATCAGCAGTGAATTATTTTGTGATTTTTTTAGAAAATGGACTTGAGATACATGGTGGTAGAGGAGTCCATGCATGCAAGAAAGTACCTAATATGGTAGGTGGTGTGGCTTCTTAACCACATTCTGAAAGAAGACAGACAGTGTACATTCCTTTTCCTAAGATTTAAGAAGACTGAAATACAAAGTATGGAACTAAGTACTACTAGAGCAAAGTGAAACATCTTAAGCTTAAGCTTGTTTAATCAAAGGGGGGTAAACCAGATGGGCTATTGATTTTGGAGCTGATTTTATAAACTTGTTTATTTGGGAGGATTAAGTACTCTAATGGGTTTAAACAGTGGTAGATGTTTGATACAGGAAAAATTGACAGGTAATATAAATTGTGGACCCAGTAGTCTGCTTGTTTCACTCATAAAGATGATGAAATTAATTCTGGTTGAGATATTTAGGAATAAATTTGACAGGATTTGAGAAGATTACAAATTTTCATTGAGTTGGAATATGAACCTGTTTCTGAGATGCCCTATCATTCCATCTTATGTTTTACAATAAAAACTAAAATGAGCCCTAACCGGTTTGGCTCAGTGGATAGAGCGTTGGCCTGTGGTCTGAAGGGTCCCAGGTTCAATTCTGGTCAAGGGCATGTACCTTGATTGCGGGCACATCCCCAGTAGGGGGTGTGCAGGAGACAGCTGATAGATGTTTCTCTCTCATCAGTGTTTCTAACTCTGTATCCCTCTCCCTTCCTCTCTGTAAAAAAAAAATCAATAAAATATATTTAAAAAAAAATAAAATGAAGTTAATAAGTCATTTCTTGAGTGATGTTTATTATATCTTAGCCATTTTGGTTGCCATGTTATTGCAACTTACTGAGAATTTAGAGGAAGCAGTTGAGACTAGGTTCTCTTTTCATGACTTCCCAGCCCTGGTTTATGATTAAGACAACCCTACTTCCCAGTAAAGGAATTAAAACTTATGTATAGTCAATCCTCATTCGCAGATTTTGTATTTGCCTACTCGCTAAAATTTATTTGTAAACCCCAAATCAGTACTTATAATACTTTTGATGACATTCTTGGACATACACAGAGTAGCAAAATAGTTGAGTCACCCGAGGCACATTTTCCCAGGAAGTCAAACAAGGCAATGCTGTGTCTTCATATCTCAGCTTTCAAACTAAATAAGTGTCCTTTTTCCACTTGTTCTATGTTGGTTTTTTCTCATTTTTGTGCTTTTTTTTTTATTTCTCTATTTAAAATGACCTCTAAGTGTCATGCTGAAGTGCAGCCTAGTGTTCCTAATCACAAGAAGTCTGTGAAGCTTCTTAAGGAGAAAACTCCTGCATTAGATAAACTTCATTCAGTCCAGAGTCTGTTGGCCATGAGTTTAAGGTAAATGACTCAACAATACATTGTATTAATGGTTGACAAATGTGACCAGAGGCTCACAGGAAACTCACTCTGTAGGAGTGGTTCAGTATTCATTAATTCAGTCTTTGTGCTGACTTACGAAAATAACTACCTCGAATAACTGCAATATATACTAGTACAATCAAGGAAGCAGAGATAGAAATGTGTGTCCTCAGTTACAGCAAAAAGAGGAGGGGAGATTTGGGGACAATTTTGGTTCTCTCTGGAATAAGTTGGCTCTTGGTATATGTATCATTGTGTACTGATTCAGATATTTTTCTCATGATGGGATGAGGGAAGTCAGCCCCCTTCCATTGACTACTCAAAGAAGTGTGTCATTTTCTTAGAAGTGAAAAATAAAGGCATGCTTGACTCTCCCTTTCAAATAGGTAAATCTCCTTTCATGTGCACACTTTACCTTATTTACTGTGATTCCCCTTGATGTCATGTTGTACATTTGTATCTTTTTTCATATGTATATTTTACCTAGTTTCCTATTGCTCTCCCATTTTCAAACTTTTTGAATTGCTTTTCCAATGTATACAATAAGTTTATTTGAAAAAACAAGGCCCTTCTTTCCAGATCTCAGAATAATTTCTGATAGAGTTGGGAGTGACTGAGATCTTGGGATATACTCCTGTATAAAGAAAACCAGTGTGTTATGAACTGGGGTGAATCAGTCACCTGACTTCAGGCTGGTAAATATCCCCCTCATTTCTTTCTCCAGGTGGATTTTATAGCAAACTAGAGGCCTGGTGCATGAAATTGGTGCATGGGTAGGGTCCCTAGGCCTGGCTGGCGATCAGGGCCAATCGGGGCCTTCCGGCTGCAGGCCGGGGCCTGCCTTTGTTCTGTGCCACCCCCTGGTGGTCTGCACACGTAATAGCGAGCAATCGAGCTCCCGGTTGAACTCCCGAGGGGACACTTGGCATATTAGCCTTTTATATAGAGAGATGACTCATTTCAGAAAATTCTGAGTCTGTGGTATTTGACCTTATTTCCCCAACAGTTTGTCACCATCTGGAGCAGTGGTTGCCAACCTTTCGGACCTCACAGACCACCAGTGGTCCTCGGACCATCGGTTGGTGACCATTGATTTGGGCACTTCCAGAGCTGAAGTCAGGCAAGGTGGGTACTAGATGGGCACAGAGAACATGCTGTTAAGGTCCCTTGACAACTCCCTGTTGGTTTCTTCTAACTGCTGCTGAGGGACTCCTGGCAGAGTTCAGTCCTGGGCCCTGCAGAGTTCAGAAAACCTTTTGTCTTTTTAGGGGGACCATAGTCTACTTGCTTGTACCTTCGCCCTTGCTGAAAAGGGATTTTTTTCTCTATGGGTCTGTGGACAGGGTTCATTGTTTTATGGGTGTGTCTCAGCCCAAGAGTCAGGAAGGGAGACTCACTCCTGGATCAGTGAATATCATGCCATTGTGACACCTGAGCTCAGAATTCTGTTAAGAGATGGAACTGGTTTACCTGGAATTGACCCAACATTAGTTTTCCTTGGAACCATTGTGAGAGACCTGAACAGTCCTATCCTGACCAAATGTCATATAGGTGGGAAGATGTGGCTTTATAGAAGAAAGTCAAAATCCTTGATTGCCTCCTCACAGATAACCCAGGAGAGACTATAAAACTACATGAAGGACCTTGAAGAGAAAACCAAGTGGGGAGAAGCACTCGAGAGCTTTAAAAGCACTCAAGAGCTGAAATCCAAACCCACACATCTCAGAAGAGGTTCAGCCAGTCCTCCTAGACCACACGGGAAATTATAGTTTACGGGGAAAAAATTAGTGCCCAAATAAACCTCAGTAGCTTCTCTATTTTGCACCGATACTTCAATCACCAATATGTCCCCATAGTTTCCTCCTCTGAGGATCCCAAGAATCACTTTTTTTAAAAAAGAATCACCTTTTAAATTGCTTTAATATCAGATTAAGCCCAGAAAAAAGCAGGAATGAAGACCCCAGAAAAATATTAAGAAATTTTTCTCTTTTAGGGTGATAAGTGAAGTTACAATGAGCGCGAGTGTGTGTGTGTGTGTGTGTGTGTGTGTGAGAGAGAGAGAGAGAGAGAGAGAGAGAGAGAGATACATGCTTGTTAATTTCTGTTCTGATTGGTCTGCAAGCTTCCTGTCTTAGCAACATCCATACATTTTATTTTTATTATTTTTTAAAATACTTTCTTTTATTGATTTCAGAGAGTAAGGGAGAGGGAGAGAGAGAAACATCAATGATGAGAGAGAATCATTGATCGGCTGCCTCCTGTATACCCCCTACTGGGGATCAAGCCACAACCTGGGTATATGCTCTAGATTGGAATCAACCTGGGACCCTTCAGTCTGCAGGCCGATACTCTCCACTGAACTAAACCAGCTAGGGCAACATCCATACATTTTATTTTATTTTTTTAAATTATTTTTATTTTTTATTTTTTTCAGATACAAAAGATATTACCAATTCAAGTTTAATGTCAAAATCTACTCATTTTTTTTAACATTAAGCAATTATATTGGAAGGAATAGATAAAAACACATAGATACGTTTATAGAAGTCTCTCCTATAAAAATTAATTATTTGAAAATTCTACTCTTTATCCCATTTCTCTTTTTCTGTGTATCTTTTTTTTAATGACATCTTTATTCAGATTATTACAGTTGTTCCTCTTTTTCCCCCCCATAGCTCCCCTCCACCCAGTTCCAACCCAACGCTCTGCCCTTACCCCCCTCCCCCACTGTCCTCATCCATAGGTGTACGATTTTTTCCAGTCTCTTCCCGCACCCCCCACACCTCCTTCCCCAGAGAATGGTCAGTCCACTCCCTTTCTATGCCCCTGATTCTATTATATTCACCAGTTTATTCTGTTCATCAGATTATTTATTCACTTGATTTTTAGATTCACTTGTTGATAGATATGTGTTTGTTGTTCATAATTTTTATCTTCACCTTTTTCTTCTTCTTCCTCTTCTTAAAGGATACCTTTTAGCATTTCATATAATACTGGTTTGATGGTGATGAACTCCTTTAGCTTTTTCTTATCTGTGAAGCTCTTTATCTGACCTTCAATTCTGAATGATAGTTTTGCTGGGTAAAGTAATCTTGGTTATAGGTTCTTGGTATTCATCACTTTGAATATTTCTTGCCACTCCCTTCTGGCCTGCAAAGTTTCTGTTGAGAAATCAGCTGACAGTCATATGGGTACTCCCTTGTTGGTAACTAACTGTTTTTCTCTTGCTGCTTTTAAGATTATCTCTTTGTCTTTTGCTCTTGGCATTTTAATTATGATGTGTCTTGGTGTGGTCCTCTTTGGATTCCTTTTGTTTGAGGTTCTCTGTGCTTCCTGGACTTGTAAGTCTATTTCTTTCACCAGGTAGGGGAAGTTTTCTGTCATTATTTCTACAAATAGGTTTTCAATATCTTGCTCTCTCTCTTCTTCTGGCACCCCCATAATTCGGATGTTGGTACGCTTGAAGTTGTCCCAGAGGCTCCATACACTATCTTGATATTTTTGGATTCTTTTTTCTTTTTGTTTTTCTGGTTGGGTGATTTTTGCTTCTTCGTATTTCAAATCTTTGACTTGATTCTTGCAATCCTCTAGTCTGCTGTTGGAACTCTGCATAATATCCTTTATTTCAGTCAGTGTATGCTTAATTTCTAGTTAGTCCTTTTTCATATCCTCGAGGGTCTCACTAGATTTATCGAGGGTCTCACTAAATTTATCGGCGGTTTCTAGAAAATTCTTGAAAAAAACCTTATAACTGTGGTTTTGAACTCTATATCCAGTAGTTTGATTTCCTCCATTTCTGTCATTTGTGACCTGTTTCTTTGTCTCCGCATTTTGGCTGCTTCCCTGTGTTGATAGAGTGGCTTTCTGTGTTAGGTGCCCTATATGGCCCAGTGGCTCAGCCTCCCCAATTACCTGAGGTGGACACTCTTGGTGAACCCCTTTGTGGGCTTTGTGCACAGTCTTGTTGTAGTTAAGCCTTGATTGTTGTAGGTATCACTGGGAGGAATTGACCTCCGGACCAATTGGCTGTGAGAATCAGCTGTGTCTACAGTGGGAGAACTTCTGTGCTGGGGACACCCTTCTGGGGCAAGAATTGCTTCAGGGGGTCTTTGGTGCTCACTGAGTCTGCCCCCTGAGTGTGTCCCTTATGGATCTGAGGAGTTGTAATCTGGATGGTCCCACTCTGACACTGAGTACACTGGCTCTTGGATCTTTAAGGAGGTGCTAATTTAGCCTCTGCCTGAGGCTACCCAGCAGGACCTACGAAGAGATCTGCAGATTCCTCTT